TTCACAGAATTTGCCCCAGCACGAACGAGGTTACAACATCGAGAAACCGGGTCGCGAACCGATTAACACATCGAATATCAAAGCAATCCATTGCGTTACCAGTAGGATCGTCGCGGAGGCTGAACAAGAACGGCTTGTGGAAATACAATCTTAGAAAGACAGCTTCAACCCACGACCACAATGGCGCTTCCTTCAATAGCGCTCCCAGGACAACTCCTCGGAAGTGTCGACAAATACAGTCCTGGTCCAGGAACACACATCCACGATTCGCAAATCTACGCCTCAATAGCCGGACCCGTTTTCTCTTCGCCATCACATCCCTCCACACAAAGCGCATCTTCCAAGTCTGGCAAACTCGCGCCGCTCCTCTCAATAACGCGTCCACCCACCTCCACCGACCCCGGCATCCTCGGTCCCAACTCTGGCGGCGGCGTGCCCCTCCTCCCAACCGTTTCCAGTACAGTCCTCGTCCGCATAACGCGTCTCGGCCCACGCTTCGCGAGCTGCGAAATCCTCGTCATCGACAACGCCGTATGCCGCGAAGCCTTCCTCGCGCAGATCCGACGCGAAGATATCCGGGCTACAGAGAAGGACAAGATAAAGATTGAGGAGAGCTTCAGGGTGGGTGATCTGGTCAGAGGCACGGTCATTAGTCTGGGCGATAGCGGCAATTACTACGTCGCTACGGATCGCAACGAGTTTGGCGTTGTGCTGGCGAGGAGTGAGGAGGGGAGGGTTATGCATCCGGTCAGTTGGAAGGAGTTTAGGGATCCGGTCAGTGGGAAGGCGGAGGCGAGGAAGGCTGCTAAGCCGTTTTGATGGAAGTCGTGGAGTAGAGTGGAGATTATAAGAGGGAGGAAAGCTAGTTTGCTGTAATGAGCACGGCGACCGGCGATAAGATACCCATGATGTGGAATGAAGAGTGGAATCAAGTGTCTTTGGCTTGCGAAGAACATAACAGAGAACTTCGAAAGTCATCTATCTTTCAGAAAATGACGCAAGTCCTGTCCAAGAGCCTTGAAACTGGGCAACGATAGCCGCTATCGAATGCATGGGGCGCTCTCTTGCTTGCACCAGCCGCGAATTACCCCATCCTTCCCATTTTCTCGGCCTTAGGCACACAGCAACCTCAGCAACAGCATCACCAACGGAACAAGCCGCTGCACACCAAGATCTAGCTGAGACAGCGAGGGGCCACGAGCTAAATATACCTCCTACCTTCCACCTTCTTCCAAACCCCCGGTGGCGAAAATAGCAACGAAGCAAAACCAAACACGGTCGCAGCGATGGATGTGACAATACTCTCGGTACCTGCATCGTGACGCGTATCATGTATGCAAGGCCGGGGAATCACACCCAACACGTAGTGTTCCATGACTCGAGGCAACACACGGGGTCAAGGGTAGTAGTAGCATGTGTAAGGTAACCCGAGAACAATGAGCTAAGTTTAGTGGCCAGGACTGCAGTCCTAGTGCTTCCCACATGCATGTAGTAGAGCTGCACCACGAGAACGATTTAGAGTGAAGTTGAAATGAACAGCGAATGACACATCATTGCAATTGTGAGAAATAAAGTAGAATATACTACGATTGACGCTTTCGCTGTACGCGTCGAAGACGTTTTTAAATGAATCAGCCAGGTGTGCTCGCTGCACACAAATCCCCTATGATGTCGTCATGAAATAGCACAACGAGGTCGTCTCTGAAATGTCCCATCTGTATCCCACCGCACCGTCTTAATCATTCTCCTTTTTCTTTCCCTCAGATCTGCTTCAAAAACACCCAAAATCGCAGCACTTTCCCTAGGTGTGAATGTGAATGGTACCAGGAACCGTAGATACGCCGAAACTCCGACCATGCATGGGACGACGCTGATCGCGTTGGATGAGCGCCTATCGCTAATCATGCCACGCAAGATGCTGTAATGATGACATCTTGTGTAATCCTTGATCGCAATTCTGGTGCTTGGAAAACACTCCCTCTACCGTGTGTGCTGTGATGATGTCGTTTACAACAGCGACGATCATTCGACAGCAGTATTGAAGGAGGTCGTTCTCAACAATACCCATAGTCTTACAATGCTATCCTCTTCCAGACAGCAACGCCTCTTCTAGTTGGTAGCGTGGTAGTCTTCTACAGAACGCCTCCGGGCAGGGGTGTCCCTCTATTCTGGTTACCCCACCCGAAGCTCTCTGTCTGCGGATTGACGGGTCGTACATCGTTTCCGCCTACAGTGCTGACATGGCCTTCTTGCGGTGCTGCATGCTTCCTAAGCATGAACATGGGTTTCCGGCCTTCCTTGTCAAGTTGTTTGAACAATATCAGCGGCCTCTCGTTGAGTCCAAGACAGCGCTCCTGATCACCGTGTACAATATACAGGGCATACTGGCGCCAATCTGCCGTAATGTTGTATTTTTTTAGCGCAACCGGAAGCACCTTGTGGCACGGATCGTCGATTGAGACTCGGAATGATTTGAAGATTTCAACTTGCGGGTTCGTAGATGGCGTGGATGCGGGATTGGATGCGGAGGTGTTCATTGAACTTGAGCCGCCAGAGAGTGGTGGGTCGCGGTCGCGATCGTCGGGGGTTGGTGTTGGTGCAGCGTTGTTTCGCATCTGTCGTGATGACAGTGGTGCGGGCGTAGCGCGGGGGTCGCGATTGCGGTCGGATACAGCAGTTGTGTCTGAATTCCATGTGTTTTGACTCCACCCTGAGCTGCCGTCGTGATCGTGCCCGCTTCGGGGTATTTCGCGGTTGTACTGGCGGCCTTGGCCTTGTGTGTATGCGGGGGATGTCGGGGAGGGTTGGGCGATGGAGTTGGGCGACAGTTGCGGGCCACCACCGAGAGATGCTGTGAGGTGTGAGGAGGCTGCGACGGCTGCTGCGGAGGGGTCCAAAGAAGAATGATCGACAAGAGCGCGATGTTCTTGGATTGTTGGAGAGGGGTTCTTTGGCGCGGATCCAAGGAAAAGCTTCTTGGTAGAGAACTTACGCGAAAGACTGCTGCCACCAGATCTCTCTTGAGTTGCAGGTGGCGATGTGACGGAGTGCTCGTGGGGCGTAGGCAGGGGTTGGTTGTCCTTGAGCATGCGCACGAGTGGCAGGATCTCCTCTCGTAGCCGCTTGTTCTCGTCCATGACCCTGCTGAGGTCTTCTCGGAGATGTCGCAGCTCCGATTCGGCCGTGTGTATGCGCTCGTCGCGCGCCTGGACTACGCGAATGACCTTGGCGAAGTCGTCTTGGGTTGGCGGCGCTTCCTGTGCCGACGTATCCGCGGCTGAGGTGGTGGTTAGACGTGCAACGCCATGGCAAAGGCAATGGACTCACATAGCGGGACGTAGTCGTCGGGGTCCATGGGCACGTTCTGCCGCACCTTGATCTCGTAGACGGCCTTGAGGATGGTCAGGCGGTGGCCTACGCTGCCGACGCCCAGCTCCTTCAGCTCGGCATGCTGGAGGGCGGCGAGCACGTCGCCGGTGATGCCCTCGTCTACAAACAATGGGTTAGCAAACAATGCTAATGGTGCGCGCGGTGCGACGTACTAGCAAAGGTATCCGAGTACTGCTCCAGGCCCAGGTCGGCGATGAAGTCGGCCGTCTGGTCCTCGTTCCACTCCATTATGTGCCCCGTCGGGCTGCTCTTGCTGTCGCGCGAATGGGTGAAGGTGGTGGGCGTGTGTTCAGTGCTCAGCGGGCCGGAGCTCGTGGGGGAGCTCTCGTACTCGGCGGGTAGGGTCGGGCTAGAGATGCCCTGGCGCTCAAACTCGTCATCGGCGTCCGAGTCCTCATGGTACTTGGTCGTGTAGGCCATGGTGGGCGTGACGTCGACGGCCTCGTCGGGAGTCGCAGGGTTGGCAGAGGGCGGAGGGAGATGATGCTGCCAAGCCCTCGCAGCAAGCTCGTCGAGGGGACGACGTCTGTGTTATCGATGGCGATGTCGCGCAGGCCGGGCGGTCCAGTGTCGTCGATAGGGCACCCTGTCTGAGACGAAGCGAGATTGAGCCGGCGTGTTTCGTCTCCAGCGGGAGCAGGTCGGGCTATCCTGGGCGCAGTCTCAGATACACTGCTAGCCGTGGCACGCAAGAGTGCAGGGCGGGGAGGGTGAAGGTCTTCGCAGGCGGCCAGGCGTGCCGGTCCCTAAGCGCTTTGTCGTCGACGCCTGATGGGGAAGCGCGTAACCTCGGGGGCTGCGATGGTCCCTGCAGTCGCCCTATGCCTTTGCCTGAGGTAGAAAGAAGGCGGCCAGGATGACTATGGAGAGCAGCGAGACGACGAGGCAGTGCACAGCAGGAGGAGGAGCGCTCTGCTCACGACGCCTTAGTAGACTGGCTCGCCTGCTTCTGGATGCCAATACCAATACCGTCGACAGGCGGCTAGCAGGGCCACCCAAGCCAAAGCGGGATAGAGCCCTCTGGGTCCGAGCTTCCCATACCAGCTGGGAGCCAATATTGCGATAAAGGATGCAGGTACCAAACACTCAGCCCTCACCACCGCCTGCCCATCCACGTCGGGCGGCTTTGCACATGAACCCTCTTGCTTCAGGCTCCTAGCCGCCCCCTCTCGCGGCGCCGCTCCCGGCATCTCCCCTCCTCTCCCCCCATCGCCCACGCTGCACCTGCTCGCTTTCGGATCCGGCAAGTGCAATCTTGCAAGTTATCGTTCGCATCACGAGCCCGCAACGGCACCCGGTAAACCACGCACATGCGTCTAACGATCTTCACCGCCAACGTTGAACTAGGGCCATCTCTGCCGGCATCTGCCCGAATACGGCTACCCCGGCCAGTCGTTTAAGACGCTGCATCCCATATTACGACATCTGGCTACCTCCGAGCTTCAGAGCACAATCCCACGTGCGCCCAGCTCCCCGTCGTCTACGCGAACAGGATCACCCACTACTTCGCTATAAGGTAGCTCGCCCGGTATTGACAACTTTAGACGAACCTCCTCCTTTTTTCCTTTTGCACCACAATCTCACACCTGACGACTCACGAGCTCGGAACAATGTCTCAATCCATCAATGTAACTACGACTCAGGCCCAGTCCGGCATCTCCCAAGACCTGCGGAACAACATTTACTCGGCCCTTCTTTCTGGCGATGGCATCCGCAATATTGAATCCACCCTAGACGAATCCCTGCGGGCCTCTGGGTTCAAAGACGATCTAAGAGCCTACATTACCGATCTGTTCCGCTCGGGCCAGGCTACTACCTGCGAGGAAGCCCGGAATCTGGCGATGCAGAAGATCAGAGAGCAAACACGTGGTTTGGAGGATCAATCCAATGGCGCAAACGGCACCAACGGAACGACGAATGGGGATGGAGAAAATGGAGAGGAAGTCAACTTGAAGATCCCTAAATCGGCAATCGACGCCGGTGCAAAGACAGTCATGAAGGAGTTGGAGAAGGTGTGCGACATCACATACGAAGACGACAAGTGATCGCCCCTCCTGCAATCTGAGAAAGAGTCCACCTTCCATGCCACAGCAAAATGCAGGCTCGTGTCGCCCGAGTCAGTGTAGTTGAAGGGGAAGTCTTCAAAGCAAAGGCCTTAACGAACGATACTATCGAGCGCACAGCCGACACCGTTGCAATGTGGGGCGGGCGACACCGTTCAACGGCACCGATGGGTTCCGGCCGCTGTCTCGGGTGATCAAAGACCTCGCCTGTGCCCATGAAACCTTGCCTCATGACCGCTGCGCCAAGTGGACAGCGTTGAATCAACCATATTGGAGTCTCGGCCGTTCGTTGAGTATGGATGATTGGTGTAAAAAGTGCACGGTGATGGAAAAGGGAGTCAGGTCAGAGGTAGTAACACAGATCAATACAAGGACATAGTAGGCGCAGCAAAACTTCATTGATAACATGCATTCTCATTGAGGCCATTGGTTCGTGAAAGATACTACTGATATCCTGTCAAAGCGCTAGCAATTACGCGCGCCTCCATCTATCTATGAGACGTCAATCGCCCCTCATGCCGTGTGATGATGAAAAAGGGAAACCCATCCGTCATGATCCTGCAACTGTCTAGTTGTACAGGTCCTCGTCCTCACCACCAGCGCCGAAAGTGTTCTGCTCACCACCACCCGCTGCGTTCTCAGCGTCGGGGAAGCGGAAGAAGCTTGATCCACCAGAGTTCTTCATTGACTGTGCGAAGGCCTCGTACCGGCGGATCTCAACATCGGTAACGGAGCGACGAGCGGAGCGCATGGCCTCCTCGAAGTGAGCCTTGGTCAGCACAGGTACTGGGTCCTCCTCGTCTACCTCCATGTCGACATCCTCACCAGCAGCCTCGCGAGCCTTGCGGCGCTCGATGTCAATCGCAATAGACTGCTTGATGGCGAGCTTGACCGCACGCTGGGTGACGAATCCAAGATCGGCACCAGAGAATCCGTGGGTGTTCTGGGCGATGAAGTCGATGTTGACATCCTCGGCGACAGGGGTCTTGCGAAGCTGAGCCTTGATGATGCTGGCACGCGACGCCAAATCGGGCAGAGGAACGTAAACGAGAGTGTCAAGACGACCGGGACGGCACAGAGCATTGTCGAGCTGTTCCGGTCGGTTGGTGGCACCGATAACGAAGACGTTCTTCTTCGATGTCATACCGTCCATCTCGGTAAGAAGCTGGTTGACGACACGGTCAGAGGCACCACCGGCATCGCCTTGAGATCCACCACGCGACTTGGCGATAGAGTCCAACTCGTCCAGGAAGACGACGCAAGGTGCGGCGGCACGCGCCTTGTCGAAGATGTCACGGATGTTGCTCTCAGACTCACCGAACCACATGGAGAGTAGCTCGGGACCCTTGATAGAGATGAAGTTGGCCGCGCACTCGTTGGCAACAGCCTTGGCAAGAAGCGTCTTACCAGTACCAGGGGGACCGTAGAACAGTACACCTCGGGATGGAGACATACCGAACTTAAGGAACTTGTCGGGGTGGTCGACTGGGTACTGCACGGACTCAATGAGCTCGCGCTTGACTTCCTCCAGACCACCAATGTCCTCCCACCGGACGTTGGGAACCTCGACAACGGCGACCTCACGAAGGGCTGATGGGTTGGATACGCCAAGAGCAAAACGGAAGTTCTCCATGGTCACGCCCAGTGAGTCCAGAACCTCGGCGTCGATGGTGTCCTCGTCGAGATCGATGAGGTCCATCTTCTCACGAATCTGCTGCATGGCAGCCTCAGAGCAAAGCGAAGCCAAATCAGAACCAACGTAACCGTGAGTCTCAGCAGCGATAGTTTGTAGGTCGACATCGTCACCGAGCTTCATGTTCTTGGTGTGGATCTGCATGATCTCGAGACGGCCGGTAGGGTCGGGAATACCGATATCGACTTCACGGTCGAAACGTCCGAAACGGCGGAGGGCGGGGTCGATGGAGTTGGGACGGTTGGTGGCAGCCATGACAACAACGTTGGAGCGAGCCTTCATACCGTCCATGAGAGTGAGCAGTTGCGAAACGACACGGCGCTCGACTTCACCGTTGGTCTTCTCACGCTTGGGCGCGATGGAGTCGATTTCATCAATGAAGATGATCGCGGGGGAGTTCTTCTCGGCCTCCTCGAACGCCTTGCGCAGATTTGACTCTGACTCTCCGGCCATCTTGGACATGATCTCGGGACCGTTGATCAGGAAGAAGAAAGCACCGGTCTCGTTGGCGACGGCACGAGCCATCAGTGTCTTACCGGTACCGGGAGGACCGTACATCAGGATACCACGCGGAGGCTTGATACCGATGGATTTGAAGAGCTGAGGATGCCTCAGTGGCAACTCGACCAGCTCTCGGATCTGCGCCATCTGCTTTCGGCAGCCACCAATGTCGTCGTAGCCAACCTCGTTGAGGTTACCCTCCTCGTCCTCGCGCTGGATGGGCTCGCCCTCGCAGTGGATGACCGTATCTTGTGCGACGATACCGAACTCTGGTGGGTCGACCTCGACGACCTTGAACTCCACTTGTCGCATACCGCCGCGGGCTGTGAATGTGTCGCCTTGACGAACCGGTCGGTAGGCTTCGCGGAAGTATGGGGCGAGGAAAACGTCGAACAGCGAACCAGTGATACCCTCGACGGTGTCGGCGATGGGAAGGACTGCAATGCGCTTGGCCTGCAATGGAGTTAGCTTTGAATCAGCATTTCGAAGATGTAGCTACGTACGTATTTGATGTCAGGGCAAGGGTGGATGGTGATAACATCACCGTGCTTGACACGCAGGTTGTGGCGAACGACACGGTTTATCCGCGCAGAGCCATCGTCGAGGTCGTCGTCGGCGAGCACGATAAGAACGGTGTCCTTCCGCTTCTTGCCCTTGACGAGGACTGTGTCACCACGGAAGAGCTGGAGCGTCTCCATGGTGTTGTTTGAGAGGGCGATAATCGAGTTGTCATCGTTGACGGCGTCGGTGACACTGCGAAGTCAGTATGGCTTCTTTGTGTCGCTTCGTGGCGTACTTACATCAGCGAGTTTGGCTTCTTCTTCTTCTTGAGGATGGCAGTTGCGGTCTCGTCGTTCTGTGGCGGATCAGTAAAGGCGGTCTCAGATGGGTGTTTGGCAGTGCCTACATCCTTGGGCTCAGCGCCATCGGGGTTCCTGGAGTCTTGTTAGTCGCGGTTGCAGACAGGCGGCTGGTGGCAATGCACGTACTTGGAAAGATCCACCTTCGGCTTGGAGTGGTCTGGTTCAGCGGACATCTTGCTGATGTGTCTCTATGGAATGCTGCGACTGTACTTTTCCGGTGCAAAGAGGGACGCCGGGATTTGCAGCGCGGTGGAATGGGTTGTGGGTGGGGTGGGGGGTAAGATGGAGGTGATGGGTCTTTGGTGTTTGGGGCGTGGTGGTTTAAGTAAGTTGGAGCTTGAACAGTGTCGGTGATCTCACTGCTCGAGCTAGCTTGATGTTGCCTTAGGGTCCGTGCTCCTTCCGCCGCCGCAACATTGGAAGTTGCTGGAAACGCTTAGACAAGCCGGCCTACTGGAAACACTGTGTCCCTTTCACCGTCAATTGCTTCCCGCCTCCCTCGGAAAGGCCCCATGCGGGCCAATCAGGCTCGCTTTGTGCTACTCTTCGCATCTCCAGGGTGAGACTGGCGTTGTTACGCGTCCGACTGGAGCCTGCTGCAGCCTCATTCGCGCCACCAAAACGCCAAGAAAGTCTCCATATCGGTCCTTCGTCAGTGCGCGCGATAAGTAAACCTACATGTCCGTCAGGTACACCTAGACCGTAGCAGTACTGGTACCCGTCCAACGCTTGCCAAATCCTATGCGTACCATGGGTAGCTACGGCAGTCACTCTCTGGCACACATAGGAAAGAACCCTTGCTGTTTCACACCACAATACTTCTGGATGTTTTCAGATTGGCGATGGTTCGCCTGCATGTTCTAGTCTTTCAGGCTGCTAGCTGCTTTATGATCCCTGGCCTCATAGATATGTATTAGGATATACTGACTTCTTGCACTAGACATCTTCACACGTCCTGCTGTTGCATTCCAGCAGACGCTGCACATGCTTTCTTCTCCATCTCGCGCAAGCATGGCGCTTGGAACATATTGCCATACACCATGTTCTTCACAGTACCGACAGCGACTAGTAGCCACAGAAGTATGACACTGGCACCAAGTACCGTACCCAGAATCCTGAAGAATGCGGATGGCAGTTCCTGTCCGATGGTAATGGTAGACATCGTACAGACGCCAATGGGAAAAGTGAACCCCCACCAACCCATATTGAAAGGGAACTTGCTCCGACTGATTGACGCGACTGCGAAGAATAGCCATACCAAGCCAAACCCCCATAGCGTAATGGCGGTCATCCAGCCTAGTACGTAGAGAACTTCGCCGGCTATTGGATGCAACGTGTTCGTCTCTGGAAAGGTCTTTGAAGCTTGGATTCCGAGTTTCAAAGCGGCGTATCCGCCCTGTCCCATAGGTCCAAGAGGCAGAAAGACACTGACGATTACTTCCTGAGATGGAAGATTATGAATGGCGAGACGGTGGAAGTACATCACCATAACCACGAGTGCCAGTGGCACGCCCATACCCCACAGCACATAACTGGTGACTATGGTGATTAGGGCGTGGTTTGGCTCAGGTAGCACTGACGCGACAACGCCACCGGAAGCTGCTGCAACGATACAGGCTACGATCGGGAGGAGCCAGGCTGCTGTCATCGTTTCATGACGGTTATGGTGTTTCGTCATCCTGCCACCATGTTAGCTTGTGATGTTACTCCTTTTTCGTAAACTTGAACACCCCAGGGCTGGACTCTCGCCCTTAAAGACAACTATAGATCAACTTACATTTGGAAAGGTAGCCAGAGGCAACAAGCCACGCTCAAGACAACATCGACCCACCACATTCCCCAAACGATATACGGCGTCGAACCACCCCAAGCTGGTACGCAGACCGTAGCGAACATATTGACGATGGTAGCAAATCCCATAGGTA